TCGGCCGCCTCCGGAACCTGCGGCACTTAGATCTGTCCTCAAACCAGATCCGCCGGATTGAGGGGCTGAGTTCCTTGGCTGGTCTGCGCACCCTGAGCTTATCCTGTAACCTGCTGACGAAAGTGGAGGGTCTGCAACGCTTCTTTATGTCCATTTAGCAGCTCGCTAAGCTTTTCTAAGAGTTAAAGCTTGCTTCAGGGAAGTATGCATGCAGTTAAGGTTATACGAAGTTAGTATGAGCTGCAAAACGTATTGTTATGTAGATTTTAAAAAGAGTGTATAGTCTCTGTAAGCTTTGTCATAGCAAAATGGATTCATTTAGAAGGAAAAATGGATTTTTATATTATGATTGTAATTCATTGTATTGATAGTAACTTGTAGGTATAACTTCTAAAGGCTTACTTTGCAAGTGTTGATTTGCTGAAAGCAGAACATTTTTCTGAAAATCTTACTGATTTTTTTTTTCTCACTTTGTTTAGGACTGGAAAACCTCTTTAATTTAACTATACTGGATTTGTCATATAATCGCATACATGATCTCTCTGGTAAGTGACTGGCACATGCAGTGCAATGAAAAGCATTTGCCTTGCTTCAATTTGAAAAATGTGACCAAGTGTAACTTTAGGAGTTGCTAGTGGTTCAGCCAATTGGATAAGTGATGCTGCTGAAGGTGACAGTTGCTGCTACTCTCAGCTTTTGAGTTTCTAACATTGAGGGTCGTTCTGAACTGGAATTTATTCTCCTGTATTTGGTGAGGCCGAACTTATTCACAAAGTAGTACTGTAAATGTTTCAAACTTATTTTCAAAGTGAAAAATGCACTAGTCTTGGAAGATATTTCCCTCTTTGTAGGACAAAAGTGCAGCTTGGGATAGGATATGGAAGTTCTTTTCTAAATTTCTGTTCTAATTCTAAATAAATTTGCTGAAATAATCAATTATTGCTTCTAATTAAGATTTTAAGCTACAGAATCAAGGGAGTTTGTAAGAAAATTAAAAAGAACATTGATAACAATTTTGTTAATGAACTGAGTTATAAAAAGCAAAATATTTGTTTTTACATGCTTCTTAACAGTTAGAAACTAATCTCTTTAAATAAAGTTAGCTCTCAACTAGCTTAAGTGTTGTACTGTGTGGTAGGTGTACCATAATCAAAATATGTAGGCAGAATTAAGGTATGTGGAGCAAAGGTTGTTACATCATTTCCAGTTACGATGTATTATTTACTGCATGTTTTTTTACAAGATGCCATTTGTTCTAAATCCTATAGTCTACGATCATACCAGAAATTGTTATTTTGTGAGTTTTTCTCAAATTTTCAGGATTGCAATGCCTTCATGGATCCAGACATAAGGTCAGTCATATTGACCTTCACAGCAACTGTGTAAACAGTATGAATCACTTACTTCAGTGCACAAAGGGGCTGCGCTGTTTGACGAGTCTGACACTGGCAAAAAATGGAAAAGCCAATCCAGTGTGTGACACAGCAGGTATGGATCTCGTGCTAGCTGAATACTTTGTGCTCGTTAGGGCAGGGATTTCCCTTAAGCTGTGAGCCAGGTTCTGAAGCTTGCAAATTCATTCATCATCTGGCCAACTTGCAGAAATCTAAATTCTGTCCAAATTAATTTTTTTTTCCTGGAAAACAATTTTTTTTTTTCTCCCCCAGGCATATTCTCAAAATTTTAACTTGTTGTATGCTTTGTTAAGGCTCAACTTTTCCGGTATTGTTTTAGTTTAAGGCAGGAGACAAAAAGCAATGGAAAGAGAGAGTGTTGCAGAAATGGGAGGGAAGGAGTGTTGCTGTTACATGGTGGGTGGGTGGAGGATTTGAAGAATGTACGTAGAGATACTGAACTACAGAGAGAGGGGGCAGGCATGGGAAGTAGATGGTCTTCTACTGATAGAGACGCCAAGAGGAAGATCAGCAATAAGCACTATTAACCTGTACTCCTTTTCCTGCAGCGTCAGTAAGCAGTGGCAGGCACGAAGGTGCTCTGCAGTCATTGGCATGTTCATCAAAACAGCAGACAGGGCTTTCCCTAGGCGGTGTGGAGACACGTTGGAGGAATGCCAGTGGATATATCTCTTTCAGTTGTGTTGCCTAGAGCTTCTGGTTCGGGAGTAGGCTTTTCGTGCCCTTTAAATGTTGCACCCTGTGTTCAAACAAGTTAAACTGTACTATCTTGTTTTAGTGCAGGTTGTTTTCTTCGTTCTTGCGTAAGAGGGGAAATCTCCTACAGGAAGATAGAAGTGGAGGATTGATACTTTTGGGATGGGACAAAGATAATTTCATTCCAAAGCGTAGAACAGTAGGTGTTACAATAATACAAAATAACAACTGTATCATGAGCATGTAACTGATGCAGCTGTAATATGTGTACACTTCTTGGAAAGAAGCTTCAGAGGTAGCTGAGGGAAGACAAATAAGGTCATAGGTAATGCTTTCGGAAGCACCCGTGAACAAGTTATACAAGTGCATTCAGGTACCACGGAAGCAGTAACAGGACTATAAAGTTACGTGGATAACTTAGAAAATTCCACTAGTTTTCTTCTGTCAGTGTTCACATGCCTCTTCAGATGTACCTCTTTGGTGGCACTTACTTTTGAAACCCAAATTCTATTGATTTAAAGAAATTCAGTGCCTTACAGTTTCATAACTCCTTATTTCATTCACTGAAAAAGAATGAAGTTATCTAAGCCCTTTCAGTACTTGCCTTTCGATTACATTTGTCTGTCCTTGCACTTGAGACAACTGTTCTGGTGCAGCAGGGCAATAGGAGAAGGTTGGCTGTGCCACCGCAGCCCAACCGCAGTTGCAGACCAGGATGAGGCAGGCGGCTTCTCAGTTAACTTGTTTTGTACTGTTGTCTGTTGAAAGCCTTATGGGTGGGGAAAAGTGAGACACTTGTACTTTCTTCCTTCTCTTAAAAATGCAGTGAATATTTAAGGTGACAGGGTACCTAAAACACACCAGATGCTTCCTTCAGAGATACATTTCAATTTAAATGTGGTCTTTTTCCTCAAGGTTACAGAGAAACTGTTCTTCAGGCGTTGCCCCAGCTAACGGCTCTAGATGGAAGAAATACTTCTGGTGAACCGGTGGACCCGGCAGAAGAAAACTGTTCAGCTTTGCAGTGTTCAGAAGATGTTTTGGGCTGTTTGGTTTCATCTGGGTGCCTCTCACCCAGAGATCAGGTGCCACAGTTTGGGTGTACCAATTTTAAAATTGACACGGTTTAGTTTTATATTGCACGTGACTCACTAATGTTCCAAGGGTTGTCTTTCCTTTTGCTAGAGCCATGTTACCTTACCGGTGGTGACACCGCGTATCGACCAGGCGTTGGCTCTTTTCCGGCAGCGTGCAAGAACAGCAGCACAAGGTGCCATCAGCTCCTCTACAGAGCTTGTCTCATCTTCAGAACCAGAGAAGGCTGAACTTGATAAAATATACAGTGAGATGAGGATCAAAAAAATAGAAGATCAAATTTCGCAGATACTGCAAAAGGTGATTTTTTTTTTTTCTGTGATTGCACAGAAAGTTCTGTTTGTAAAACAAGGTGTCCCTTTTGATAATGTGGAAGTGTGCTGGGACAGACTGGAGCATTTCTGCTGGTATGTGTGTGCTGGCTTCGTGCTTCTGTGTTCCTAATAATTTTGAGAAACTGGGAGTAAAATAGAAACAAGTCTCTAATACTGAAGATTGACCCTTGAGTCATGGAAACTTTCATAACAAATAAAAACCATAGTGTATGGGACTGGGAGTACTGTCTGATTGTATTGTATTAGAAAGCTGTTTTCTGGTTTGTTTGGGTTTTGTTTTTTTTACCCTGAAGACATCACCGTAGTAACTGAACTAGAGTAAAACGTGAAATGCAGCAAAAGTCTGGATCATAGAGATGGTGAAAAATAAATTTGCTAGTAGGTTGAGTTGGTCTGGTGTGTTTGTCGGGTATGTTTCTGTTACAGTTTGATGTACCTTGCAAGACACTTTTGGTTTTAAGTGATATATTTGGTTTTCATTTTGCACCAAGCTTCTGTGCCAAAGGATTTTACCAACCAGCAGGTATTTCAAAAAGATACAACTATTTGTTCTCAAGCACGCTGTTCTGTTGGGTTTATTTTATCTTTAAAACAACGACATGTTGTAGCAACAAGGGAAGGGATTGTTTGGAAACAGTTATTTACTTTTCTGTCAAAATTATTTTGTGTGAACTTTTTAAAAATAGCACTTGAATAAGTGTTAGAAATTAGACAGTTAAAAATTATAAAATCATAGATAAAATTTTGTTCTATTCTTAGGTATCTGATACCTCAAGAAGAGAAGCTCCTTTGCATGTTCTCAAAGCTAAGAGAGACACAGATCCAACTTCTGAGAGTGAAAATGACAGTGGGAAAGAGAACAACAGAAAGGTTGTGAAAAGAAGCAAGATCCCTACTTACCATAGAACTACGTCATCTACTAGGTGTCATACAAATCATCCTAAGAAGAAAATAACTGACAGGTACCCCAACGTTTGCCATGTAAAGCCAAAATGAATTAAGCTGATTGTTGTCAGAGTGAACATAGTTTGACTTGAAACATTTTGCTGAGAGTGGTAGGTTGGGTAATGAGCTCCATTAATAATGCTCTAAAGATTATTAGCTACCGTGGCTTCACTCAGTCGTATGAGTGCCTTTGTGGTGAAAGGGAAATGGAACTGAAGATTCCCAAACAAACACTTTCAGAATTTGAACAGCTTATATTTTCATTTTTGTTTTAAATTGTGGTGACAGAATTCTCCACAGACAGAACAACTGAGGCATTAAAAAATAAAAATAATAGATACATGGTGTCAGAATGATGGTCAAGAATATAACTGTCTGTGATGAAACTGAGGATGGCATAGTAATTTGTTTATGTAGTAAATGTCAGAAGTGATAGATAGATGATATAAATGGGAATATATTAGTTTAGTCAGCCACTGCAGCTCTACAGCTACTCTGGCTCTCTGAAATTGTTTCCTATCTATGTGATCATGAGGTGTTTTTTCAGATGGCATCTGCTAGTACTACTTATTTTTTTCTTACAACTGAAGATTTGAATTTAGCTGGTTTATGATCTGCGTGCAAATCTTCTGTGTGGTTTTGAACTCTCTACAATTTGGCTTCTGCACAGACCTGTAAAATGTTTGTCCTGTAGAAATGTCTGAATCCCCTGTTTAAACTCTGTGTGTTCTTAAATATAC